AAATTTGATAAAATGAGACTAATTTGCATGTACTTTACTCTAAGTGGCTAAAATATAAGATTAGGATAATACTAAAAATCTTTCTAGAAATCAGACAACAAGATTACATCACAGTGTCCGAAACACATACACTTAAGCATTTATTATCACGACAGAAAGTAAACCGATTCTAAACCGGTTTTTAATTCTGGAAACTCCAATCCCAAATCTCGTGACGCTCAACACCACGACCCATCGAACCGGCAAAACCGGTATACATCTTCTCAAGAAGAATCTTGGAAAGATCGAATTTTGATTCAATCAATGGCCGATTTGGTTTCTTCAAATGTGCAAGACCGATCGTAACAGAGATAACTTTAAGATTATTACTATACTCAATCCAAGCTTTGTATCTATCTCCATTACTAAGCTTCAATTCTTTAAACAACCAACCATTTCTTGTCATAACCCAATAACCGGATTTAACCGAAACAATCGAATCAACCGAATTAATATCGATTCCGACATGATTATCGTTAATATCTCCAAGAGACTTGTCTTGAAAAACATCGAATTCAACTGCAAATAGATGGTTATTAGGATTACCGTTACTGGTTCGGTTTACAAGACTGAGATAACCTAAACCGGAAACGGCGTCGTTTTGGTTGGTTGATGTGAGGAAGAAGGCAAGACCATGACCAGGGTTAGGGTTTGTTTGGTGAGGAGTGATGGTGAAAGTGAAAGAGGTTTTAAAAGGGTAAAGAGATGAAGAATTTGGTTTGAAAGTGATTGGGTTTGTGTAAATGGCTCGACCATGTGAGAATGAGGCTTTGTCTTTGGTTAAAGCTATGGCTCCAGACCGGCTCATACCATCAGTGTCTGGACCATACTCTGCATCACCATGGAATGTGAATAGATCAGAACCATTACCAAAGTAATCGAAATTGAATTTGTAAGCAGTGGTTTGAGAAATTATGAAGAGAGTTATGAAGAAACAGAGTATTTGGATCTTCATTTTGTTCTCTGTTTTTGGGAAGTAGAGAAATGAAGAAGATGATGAGCTTTGAGAGATTGAAGTGGTGTTTGTATAGTGTGAAAGGTGATGAAATCAAGAAAACTTTTAAGACTTTTAAAAGAAATAATTGGAGATAGTGAAAAAAAAAAGGACAAGGAATCTTGAATGATAATTGCAATAGGTGACAAAATCTGTTTTGGAAGTGCACAAAACTTTATGATAGTGGTTGAGAAAATAAAAAATGGATTAGTTTAATAGTGTGTTGGTACGATCCACCCTCGTGTGATTATTTAAAATCCAAAATTTATTCACATGGAAATCTTCTCATTTGTGATATGGATTTTATTTTTTTTAAATATGCCATTAAGTGATTAGACTATCTTTAATGTATTTTCTTATTTTCGATTCTGAAACATATAAACTCTATAATAGAAGTGGATTTCATTCCAATGTATTCTTCTATTTTTTCCTCTAAACGAGAATATACTTCAAAATATTCTCTTTTTATTTTATTACAAAATATATTTTATTTGTAAAATTTATAAGTTGATTCCATTTATTTTATTCTTGTTAAAAATTCAATAAATGATAAATTTTTTAAAACGAAACAATTATTATACAAATAAAATCACATTACATTAGATAAAATAATAAAGCATGGTAGATTTTGATTTAACCATCAATACTAGTATTTTCACTAGTTACTTCATATTTCATAAATATTCATTAAGTTATAAATAACTTAATATATTAACTTTATTTATACTTAATGAATATTCATGTTTCTTTTATACTTAACAAATATTATTTAACTTATCATAATATTCACTAAATATCCTAGTTTTTTTTCTATTCATAAGTTAAAAAGGTTAAATTCAAATGACTAT